CCGTCGCCTTCGCCGCCGCCGGCCCTTCAGCAGTGGCGGCCTCTTGCAATCGCTCTTCTGCCGCCGTAACGGCGGCTGCGGACAGCACCCCCTCTACGACGGTTCGTTGCTGTTCCTGTTGCATGCGTTGGAGAGTGAGCACAGTTGGTTGCCACTTGATGCACAGATTGCACAGAATACATACCAGTTGTTGCTATGTAGATGTGTGTTGTACGGCATGTAGGACAAGGCTTACCTCTTCCAGCAGTTTGTTGATAGATCGGATGCGGTCCAACACCTGGCCCGCGGACACTGCATCCATTGGTCGTGGTGACGATAACGGGCCCAGTGCCTCCCCCGCCACCACCAGCGGCAGCGCCGCCGGCGGCGGCGGCGGCGCCTCCTCCGGCACCGCCTCCGGCGCCGCCAGCACCTCCGGCGTCACCAACACCGGCACCGCCGACACCTCATGCACCTCCTGCACCACCGACATCTCTGGCGCTGCTGCCGCCTCCTCCGCCGGTAGCGTCGCAGCTTCTGGTGGCTCTGCAGGCGCCGTCGCGGCCACCTCCAGGTTGTTCCGCGGCGATAAGAGCATCAACTCGTACGCAGCTTCCAATGCTGTCTGCACACGAGCTCGAGCCGCCGCCACCTGCGCGGCCGTGTCAAAGGCGGCCCATGGCGACGGCTTCGACTCCTCCGCCGACACCTCCACCGTCTCCTGCTTCGCACCCGCTTCAGCCTCCGCTTCCGCTGCTTCCGCTGCATCAGCGGTGTTTGCAACAGCGGACGCATCACCGGGTTTGGGGTCCTGGACAGTGAGATGAGAATCTGCTGCACTCGTGTTGCCTGTGTTGGTGTGTGGTGTGTTGGTGTGTTGGTTTATTGGGGTGTTGTGACGCACCGGATTAGTCGTACTCCGCGGCCGAGATCAGGCAGGTCACGTTCAATGTCACACGAGGTGAGGTCATCATCATCACCATCAGCAGCATCACTATCACCACCATCACTATCATCATCACCATCATCACCATCACTATCATCATAATTGTCATTATAACCCAGCGGAGCGTGACCATGTAATGACGGACAGACAGACAGGACTGACGGACGGACAGACAGACAGGCAAGGGACATCCGGACCGTGTAGCCCCGCACCTGTCCCCGCGGGGCCCAAAGCGGCAGTAGCAGCAACGTCAGTAGTCGCAGCAGCACCTGCAATAGTAGCAGTAGCAGTAGCAGTAGCAGCAGCAGCAGCAGCCATCGTCTCTGCTGCGGCGATGACAGCCTTCGCAGCCACGGCTCCAGATTCCAGGTTGGCGGCGTCAAATGGAACCCTGACGCAGGCCGCCTCCGCCGCCTCCGCCGTCGCTGTCGTCGCCACCTCTCCAGGTTGCGGCGGCGGCGATGATGATGATGATGATGATGATGTGGGGCCTGGTACGGAGACAGGTTGCCGCGAAGGGTCGGTGGTGGACTTTTCGGAGGGTACCTGCAGGCAATGTTCCGGCCAGCGCAACGCAGCAGCAAGGGCCCAGGCCGATAGTAGTCGTCCCGGTAGACGACCGCTTGGCGGGTAACTCTGGTAGTAGTAGTACTGGTAGTTCTGTTGGTTGCGGTTCTGGTTGTGGTTTATGGATGATCACCACCATGTTGGACGCATCACCGTTTGTGGAAGCAGGTGGCGAAATGATGGATTTTTGGGGCGTCGTTAGTTAGCCGCTTTGGCCAATGCAAAGAGCTCTCGAGGGTGATAAATAAGATACCATGACACATATTTGAATCCACCACATGGATGGATCACATCAAATGTTTGGACACTTGTGTGCGGCTCATTAATTCACGAAATCGAATCGTTCTGTCGAATTTGTTTCCAGCTGGATAGGAAACATTAGCTTCCACGCTCTGCTTCATGGCCCGCTGGGCTAGCACGCCAGCTGGCACCCAGCTGGCGCTGTGAGGAGGGGGCAAGGAGGGTCCCGCCTGGGACATACGTGCGCAACAGCGTGTATGGTATGGTATAGGGAATTCACTACGGCTGGATCCACGAAGGCTGGATCCACGAAGGTAGGATTTACCTACCGCGGCTGGATCCACACCGGGTTCAGCCGGGTCCGAAGCAATGGAGCAATGGTGCACACTCACCGCCGTTTCTGTGATTGCGGCTAAGGGGGTCGCAGTTGTGGTTGTAGCTAGGTTAGCGGGGGCGGCGATGACTTTGCTGACGGCTGCAGCGACCGGTGTTCCCGGGGCTTCAGCAGCGGCAGTGGCTGCGGCACGCCGTACGGCAGCTAGAGCGGATTCCACAGCGCAGATCTCCACTTCTGCGTCCTGCACAAACACAAATACACGTACTCAAGCATGCACACCGCTAAAGTGGAGGCTCGACGACAACCCAGGGGGAGCTTCAAAAATAAGGACGCCGCGGGATGACCTGCGTAGAAACTCCTGAGTCACGACCTGTGATCATGCTGCACCTCCGTTCTGCTGAGTCCTCCTCTTCCAACGCGCCCGCACTTCCTTCTGGCAGCAGCGGAAAGGCCCTTAGCTTATGATCCCTGTGGACGACCTTATTCTGGGCACCTGCCTGCTCCCCTAGAGCCGAGCTCTTGTCGGGCCCAAGCACACGTCAGGCGATGCGTCGCAGGGAAACGCGCGTGCATATCCGCAATGCCATTTCCGTACCTGCAGCAGCGCCCTGACCTCCGAAACTGCTGTTAAGACCCTAGCAGGCGGCGTGGAAACGGACGAGTGCGTGGGTGAGGGTGCGGATGCCGTTGTGGACGTGAATGTGGGTGATGATGCGGGGCGGATGCCGGGTTTCCCCTCGACGTTCGCGGTTGCCGCCGGCGCTTCTCCGGCGGAAGCGACAGAAATAGCTGCCTGCATGGATGGGTATCGCGGGATCGGCCGCCGAGGTCGGCGTAAGGACCAGAAGCGGAAGCAGTAATAGCAGCAGTTTACCAGTAGCAGCAGCCGCAGCCGGCGAGGGAGGCGACGCAAGCAGGCAAAGAGTTCAGCCGCATTTAGGAAGCTCTGCGCAGATGCTGACCAAGCAATGCATAGGGCTGGCAACACATCCGAACAGCAGCAGCTGCAGCAGCAGCAACAGAAAGTACAGCTTCGGAGCAGCACGTGCACATCAGCTTTCCTTTAACTTACAGTACCTTTTAATTGCTTTTCTAAAATTGTTGTTCTTTTGTTGTCCTTCAGTACCCTTGACCATCTTCGGCTGGAAGACAGGGCCCCACCCAATCATGTATCAAACATTTTATCAAGGGACTGTTTTTAGCTGGCTCAGTCTTTAATGCCAGTCAATACATAGATGAGAGCAGATTTCCTTTTTCACCCTGGAAATGCACACATCCTTTGTCCCTTCATAGTAACTCGTCGCCTATATTCGCTCATATTCCGGCACTCGCTCGTATATGGACGCAATCGCATACAAATACGCAGTGGCATACAGTGCGCATACAAATACGCAGTGGCGCACCTTGCGGGTTGAGAACACCTGGAAGACCCCGGCTGCCAGCAGAACGCCGCCAAGGCATGCTGCTGCCAGCGACGCGGGGTGCTGTTGCCAGCTGTACGCGGCTGTGGCTCCGGCTGTGCCGGCCGCCGCGCTTGGGCTCCCAGACCTGATTTCGTGGCATGGCCACGAAGAACCCGGTGATCATGGAGGGGTTGAAGGTTGCGACGAATTGCGGAATAGAACTGGGTTTGTAGAGGCTTAGAGAAAGAAAGCCGTGCGGGATCTGAGGAGGGTTAGTGTTCCGACTGGACGACTGTCCGCGCTAGGCTGGGCAGGGGTTGGGGTTAGCGAGGCGCATCCCTGTCATAACTCTGGGTAACGTACCTGCCCACGATCAGCTTTTGGCCAGGCTGCAACATCGCATCTGAACGCAGCATCGCACGCCTCCCACGGTTGGCCCTCGGCAGTGCTTCCTGCAGACCTCCATGCACCTGGTATTGATCAGTCGCTTCGCGGAGGTGCAAGAGTCGCTGTTTAAGTTGCCTCACCTGGATCTGCTCGACTGATACGCCATACGCAAGAGCAATCTGAGCCAAGGTTTCGCCAGTCTGCGCAAGAAACGCACGTAGGCATGCCGGGGATACATGCCGTTCTTTCGGCCACTATGGAAACCCCAAAAGCTGGTATTTAATTTTTTATAAGCGCTGTTCAAGTTTATTTCAAAAACTTCGCTGCCAGGCTGTGACCGAGCTCACCTGTACAGTGTGCAATGTACCGAGCTCCGCTTCGGCTGCAGCAAACGTAACCCATAAGCGCTTATTTGTACGAGAGGACTTCCCTGCATGGACGCTGTGTCCAGGGAATGTGGGGCCATGGAGATGCGCGCTTCTGCCAAGGGATGAGGACATTGATTTCATCTTTGCCTGTCAAGTTTCGGCGACGTTTCGCGTTCAGCTACTTAAAGTGCCCTCAGTAGATGTATTAGGGAGCATCAATGCGTAATACAGTAGAGTGGACGCCCAGAAATGTCAGCCAAAACGGGAAGGCGTGAATTACGACCATTACATTCGTCTTGGTTAAGACGTAAATAGACGCACTTGCTTGTGCGGCCACATCCATGTTGCGCGTCTTTCACGATGGTATGCAAAGGGCGGTACATAGCGCAGTTCCGTACGGCAAGGTTATCTCGAGCTACTTCGCGTTTTATTCGGGGAACGTCTGTTATCCTTATAGAAAGCAGCGGCTCAATCTCGTTCACTATCCTATGGGAAGCAGCATAGCTCCTTTGGCCTTACATAGCTCCATAGGCCTTACCCCATATTACCCGGACGCCTGCCGTGCCACACCTAGCCCAACCTAACCCCACGAACCAAACCTTGTCCTCGTCACAAGTGGTCATGTGCTATTATCCTTTGTTCTAACGCTCCTGTTCCTCTCCCGCACCCTCCTGTCCTGCGCTCCTTGCTCCAGCTTTGCGGTCGGTTGACGACAGTGGTACTTTCACACTGGACTGATCACAGGACTGTCCACATACGAGGGACTCCTTGGGCCATTCGACGCGTCGTTATCTGTGTCAGCTAGCTCGCATCTTACTCCGCCTGGAAGTCCTCCTGAAAGCCGACCATACGGCCATAAGGCCCCTGAAAGCGAACAACAGCTATAAAAGTGTCTATTGACAGCCGGATTTGAATATCGCCACCTCAATCGCAGCCCCTGTACCCCTGCAAGCAACAGCGTTATTTATATCACAATCGCCTGGAGCATTTAAGGCCCCTCCAAGCGGGTAATAACCGAGCAAACAAGGGTACCCCTCGCCTGTGTAAGCAGAGACTACCCACAACTACTGCCCTCAGCTCTGCAGACCTGAACCTGAACAAGCAGCCCTGCCCTCTGCGCGATACATCCTGATTGGTATCCCAAACGCATCACCGGCTGCGTGGCCTATACACATCCACATTCCGCGATACTGCTATTCGTCCAATCATTGCCAGCCTCAATCCCTAATGCTGGGACCTCCTTCCTTTCCCAGCCTCTAACCCTTCACACCCTCACGCTCTCCGCTACCTTCCTCACCAATTCCCTAGGGCCCCCAGATGCGATGCGAACAGCTCCCCCCCTCCAGCAAAACCCTCGAAACCCTCAATCGCATTTGACGTTGCGGTATATCGTCCGGACAAAGGCCGCTGCGGCCATGTAGCCCACCGCGCCGCATAGTAGCGCTAACCCCAGGCAGAACATGGACGTGTAGCCAAAGTAAAAGCACGTCTGAAACAGGCCAGTCATTTTGGTCTTGAACAGGAAGTAGTGCACCGAGTAGAGGAATACATAGAAGGAGGTAGATGCCGACATGCCAAAGGCGGTCCACTGCCAGTGGTAGTTCTCAGCGTTGAGGAGGAAGTAGGTGCCCACGATGGTAACGCAAACCGTTACCACCAGCAAGATAAGGACCACCAGCAACAGGAAGCCGTAAATGTAGTAGACCTTGTAATTCCAGAAGCTGGTAAAGACGAAGTACATCTTGCGCAGCGAAAGGGTGGCAATCGGACAGCGCAGATGGACGTCATTTAAGGGACATGAGCCGGGAGGAGGCTCGGCGGAATCAGGCGCAGCACATGACACCGATATTCAATTCGGAGGGATCGGCGGCCAAGGCAAGAGGAATGCCATGGACCATCCTCCTCAGGATGACGGGGCTGACGCTACGACCTAGTTAGCTTATGTCCTTACTGCACACCACGTCCATATTTTCTGACCTCAACAGATCATTTCTGAACAAGCCTGAATATGACACCGCTTATGTTTCCCGCACGGTCCTGTTCAAATTTAATAATCACTTCTGCTGTGGCCCAAATTAGCAGAATTACACAAGACCTGCGGTTAGGGGATGCCGGCAGAACCTCGCGCGCCACATTGGCCCAGGTGTGGCTCACCTCAATAAAGATAGAACCGAAGGGCAGCAAACCGCCCGCCATGCAAATGGCCCAAGGACGCAGGTACCAGTGCTTGTCGGGTATAGGCGACGGTATGCGCTTCACGCGGCAGGGATCTGCGGGTGTTAAGGGAGGCGGCAATCCCGCCAGGGGCGTGGGCAGAGGCCCGTTCAGTAACTTCTGAAAATTTTGACGTTATTAACAACGGGAAACACAACTGAAGGAATCCGCACGAGACACGGAATTCATGAGGAGGAAAGGAAACAGGAACAGGAGAGGAGCGATGTGGTCATCGAGGATCGACGGAAGCCACTAAAGCAATGCCACTACAGTGAGCCGGCATCTTCGGAACAGGACGCACGGGGCCCCCAACCAGACCCGGCCATGGCAGATCGGCCATGATGGCAGGTCAGCCAACAACCCAGCCCAGCCCAGGGGTCCCTAAGCAGATGTGACGGGTGTTCACTCACAGTTGGGGATGGAGTTCCAGTTACGGCCAATGACAGTGCCAATGAGGCACAGCGGAAACGAGATAAAGCCCCAAAGCAGCAGCACCGCCATGATGTAGCCGAAGGGCACGGCCGCAAGGGAGTGGTAAAAGATGGCAATGGTGTTGAGCCCAAAGGCAATGGCAAAGCATAGCCCTGGGAAGAGTGACGCTGTCATCAGCATGGTGCGAATCCATTGCCGGCCCTCGTGGCGCGCGTACAGCCCTCCAGACACGTATCCGCCTGGGCCGTGGTGACAGTAATAAGTGGGTCGTGGGGAGCGGTGTTAGGACGTGAGAGAGGCTGCAAAGACTGGCAAAATGTGGAGGGTGGCGAGCAAGGGCGCGGCAGGCGCTAGCTTTCGGTGGGACTGGCTCAGGATCGGCTGCTTAAGCGACGATGTGGAGCAGCATAGAGAAAGAGAAGGGAGAAGCCTCGCCGCGTCGCGCCTCCATGCGCCCGAGCAGGGCTATTTGCCATGATGAGCAACACGATGAGTGAGCTAGTGGGTAAGAAGTGGAGAACCCTGTCCTTACACGTCCACACCCCGCGCTCCAAGATGCCGTGCCAACCTACACCTACCCATTTACCATCCGCCCGGCCGCCAAACAGCACGCTCTGGTCGTACATACACTATCCATGCGACAATTACGTTATCGCGCGCAAGAGCCACACGCACCAATGAAGGATGTAAACGCATACGCGATGATGAAGCAGGTAAGAATGGTGCCGCGCTCCTCGAAATACGAGCCCGCGATGGTGAGGACGATGACCGCCGTACATAAAAACACCAGCTGCACTCCCGTGCCCACGCTGGCTGCCAGCAACGTCAGGTGCCGAGGTGGCCGAAACACGTCCCCATGCACCAGCTTCCAGCCTGACTCTTCCGAGAAATCGCTCTCGAGCGACTCGGCATCCAGCGCATCCGCAGCAGAGCGAGCATACCTTGGGGCAAGAAGGACGGGAACCAAAAACGCGGAAGCTGAGCTTGAGCTACCGATAGAAATTATAGCGTGCGCCTCAAATCCCTTACCCCAGGCCACAGCCACCCTGGCTTGAGGACGGCGCGTAGGAATGCCGAACCATAATGCACACGTACGAGCGTTTGCCCAGATACCACCTAGGAGCTGGAGCTGTCATGCCTAAGTTAGGACAACCCGCTATTTTGCTACTTTTAGCCACTGCGCCCATGTCCCAACCCTCACAGTGCTAAGAAAATATGCTCTGTGCATGGATGGGCGATGCGGGGCAAACCCGTATCCCCACGAGCATATGATGCACTTCGCGCAATTACGGACTGGGTCCCCCGCCCCCGGGTACCAGCCCAAGCCTCAAGCTCCAAGTCAGCAAGGAAACACAGTAGAGACAACGGCGGCAGCAGCAGCAGCAGAACACGGTACAGGGCAACCATGCGCGCTCGAGTGGGTGCTTAAGGCGGGCTAGCTCTGCTGCACCCAAGCGCAAGCGTGCAAACCCATCTCCCGGCGCACTTCCGTACTCTTCCACACCGTACTCTACCTCCACCACCGAACCGCGGTTCGTGGTGGCTGCAAGGACTCTCACCGCGCATAGTCTTTGCGAAGCGTCCGCATGAGAATAATGGCGACGAGGCCCGTGAGGAAAAGCACCATCATAAACGAGTTCACGAGCGAGAACCAGTGGATCTGCAGGGAAGTGAAATGGTAAGGGTCAAGTATCAGGTTGCGAGATCTGATGCTGGTAACTCGAGGAACCCAACGGTAAATGCCTGAGGGATAAAGCAGGAGGTTACCCATCGGAGTGAGCTCGCATTAACCCAGTACCGTATTGTGTCTGTGCGTGCTATTCTTAGCAGGACGCATTGCCATACCTTATGCTCAAAGAAAGTATAATCCAGATACCTCTCAAATCTGCGAGAGAATGGAGTTTTTGAGGGGATCCAGTTGACTGTGTACCGAAAGTTAAGCTTGGCGCCCACGGCCACCAAGACCGGATCCGCGGTAGTGAGGTTGACTTGGATAATCTGGGGGGAGATTCAAGCCAGCCAGTTCAGCGCTTCTGCCAGTGTCCAAGCCTCCGCATATTGTAGGAGGAACAACTGTTGCATGTGCAGTAAACGTACCCTGTCTTTGTTGTAACTAATATCAAACCTCTTGCTTGTGTATATGTAGGCGCGTTCGACGCCGGCATCATCCTTTTTGAGCTCGCCAACGAAACCCCAGACAGGAAGCTGGTCGGGTGAGGGGTACAGGGGGAGGGGGTCTCAAGGCCGGTTAAGGGGTTGCAGCCTGGAAGGACAACCAAACATACCAAGACGTGTATTAACCTCAACGGAACCCTCCATCACCCGATTTCTGTCGGAGCACGGGGTCTACGAATGCTTCACGAACCCTATGCAACACCTACGTCGTCAACGAAGAGCTCAAACCAATACTGGCGACGAATAGCATCTTCGAATACTTTTGCTTTCCGTTCGTCCAGAGTCAAGGAACAGATGTCAGCTCCGGTGGTGTTGCCTGCAACATAGCAAGGCGATCGGACTTCACCTTGTTCCGGAGCCTACATGCTGGAGCCCCTTCCCATCAAGTTACATACCTTTATAAACTATATCCAGCTGACTGTTGATCAGCTCATTGCCCTGCAGCACCTCGCCAAGGCCTCCCCAGCTGTGCTGCGCCTTGAGCGCGGGATGCCTTTTGCAGAACGGCAGGTAATAATAATTGTAGGTCTCTTGTGGGTTGTTGTAAGGTCCCACTTTATTCACCCATAGGTTGACCTTCTCTCGGTCCTCATACTGAAACATGAATGGAAAAAAAGTGTCCGTCAGTTCAAGAGCCCTATTTTGTGGAAATCATAATCACCGCACCTTGTGATTTTTCTCTGAGCAATGGACAAGTCCCGGCAGTAGCGCTAGGCACAAGAAAGCCCAGACCCGACACGCTTCAAGCCGGCCGCTATGCTCCATCTCTTTGTGTTACTATTGCTGTTATCTATACATGTATGTAAGTTCTTGTTACGTAGCATTACCCAGAAGGGTGGTGGTCTGCACTCTACAAGGTGACTACGTAATAGTACGGAGCCGTACACTGTTTTGTTCGTAGCATCCTGCTTCCACGATAAATGTTAGGCTAAAACCCGGCTTCCTATGCTGTGACCTTTAGTTAACAGCAGCACTGAGACGGGTCATGAGGGGCTACTCCGGCCAGCTTTCCCTCCAAACGTGCAGGTTGTTGCAACTTGCAGGTCCATGCAGCCGCAGAGTTAAAGCCGACTTACAGCTACATCCACCACACTCTTGCTTTCTCTTGATGGCACCTTCAAGCTTCCAGCACCTTTCTTCACCTCAAAAATGCTTGATACGGGGTTACTTGCCCTTGGGTTCCGCTCGGCGGCCTGTCATCTTTCTGGGTATCCGCGTCCTTCAGTTTTGATATCCCGCCGGGTTGCCGTGTCCAGTCCCTCCTCTGTCCGAGTGGAAGTGCGGCTCAAACATCCCAACATTGGCCACGCTGCACGCATGCTCTGGGGATAGCATCCAGGGACTTAAACCCTTCCCATGGTGGTACCGGCAGCATGCGTGTCATTATCATCCGATTCGGATGGCATCAGGGGACATTTGACTCCGCTGCCAAGCGGTATCTCCCATTAAAGCCCGTACGGCTGCATTGTGAACGCTCAGGCCATACCGCCATACATCTTCACGACTGTGACCACCATGCGACTGACCAGCCACACGGGAGCCTCTCCAGTGCGGAGAATCGATTGTGCAGCCCATACTCACACACCCGCCTTCCGACCATTCGACACACACGCGCCTCACCATTAAGGAGTGACAGGCTTAGGACATGTACGACAAGCACGTTTGAGAGCATTGATCTAATCGTCATTCATTCTGCAACCTGAGCTGCAAGGAAAAGACAAAGAGGAATGGGAGACCCAAACCCCCATTCCCCCATGTTTCGCCAAGCCACAATGTAGCACCCGCACCATTTTCCCACTTATTCTCGGTGTAGCCCGGTGTGCTGCCTACATACAGGCACTACTCGTGTGTGCTGCGTATAAATACGATCGGCGGCAGGCCTGTCAAGTAAATTCCCAAGGCTACGTATCCAGCGACCCACGGGTCATGATAGGTGACAGTAGTATCTCGCTCGTCCTGGTAGCCTTAAACCCAGGCTGCTGCGACAGCAATATACATGACATTGTGATACGTCAATCTTACGAACGGCACTGGTCCTGAGACTATCTTACTGCATGCTAGGGTTATCTTACTACATGCTGAGTTCCAAGACTGTTTTGAAAGTTACAGCCCGTTACGGCACTCGTAACACGCCCATACTGAATTCAAATCCCGCCCAAGAGACCAACCAGGCGTTACATTGTACAACTGTAAAAACGTATGAGGAATCCTTCCTCAGTCGCGGGGCAACGGGCAGAATGGCAGCCGCCGCCAGCCCAGGGCAATGTAAACCCGGGGTATTACAGCCGTACAATGGGTCGCAACATGCAAACACCATGTACATCGCCACCATCATTTCTGAACGTACAATCACTATCATCATCATCGTCATCATCCTACATTAATAATCTTTATCGTCGTCATCATCATCATCATCGAGCTTGTGAGTTGGGTCGTTATATCAACATTCATCGTTATCATCATCATCAAGGCCTTCAAAAAGAATACAGCTCTCGCGAATCAGGCCAACCATGGCAAAGATAGCGACTTATATGAACCAATCTTACTGCTATCTATCTCGAAACGATATGCTGAGGAGGCTGGATTGAAGGAAACGCACCGTCACTGCTGACGTGTTCAATTGGAGCAACGAGCAAGCAAGCTAAAGCACGCTGTGTCATCAGTTCAGTCCTACAAACGGTACCTGCATGCATGCAGCCACCGCGTCTGCTACCGAGACGATTAACACTAACACCTCTACATAAGTACCCCTGTGGTGCAACTAATGAAAGAACAAACCCACAGCGCAAGCGGCAACTTGATGCCATCATGCATCGCTGGTGTCCAGACCCCGCGAGGTAGTAGAAAAAAACACAGACCAAATTCGCTCCAACCCACCGCAACAGGGCCGCGGCACGCAATGCAATCACACGTATGCGCAACAGTCCATGTAAGTGTATGTTCCATAGCAAGCATGTCCGATACACGCAAACTCGGCAGACAGTACTCTCCCTCTCCTCGCTCATCACCCTCGTGAGCTGAGCGGTGCCCGAACCCTTCAACAGGTAAAGTACCGTTCAAATGGGTTCAAACAGCTAACCGCACGCTCAAAAAGTCCCAAGGCCCTCGTATGCACTATGCGCGTGCCTCGCCCTTGGGTTACCATGTAAACAGATTGGCGCCAGCTTTGGTGCCTATCAGGCAAGAGACAGCTCCAGCTGAAAGAGAAGCAATGCTATCTAAAATGGAACAATGAACTACGTATGCTACGAAAGTACAAGTTGCCTACCCATTCACCAAGGCGCGCTGCCAAAGTTGTAAGCAACGGCAATATGTGCGCGCTTCTGACGCACGAAGCCCTTCATCACTTAGCATCGCTCGTATAATATCACATTATCCTACCACAACAAGGGGGCTTGTGCAGTGCCTCTTGTTAATGCTCTTGTTCATGGCCACTGAAGTCACGTCCGTTGGCCCACCCCTACGCGCGACCTGCAGCGATAGCTTGCTCATGGGCTTCTAGTTGCATCCGGTACATTTGGCGTTGGTATATGAGGCGCTGGCGGTCCTCAATTTGCCTGGCGCTCTTGTAATATCTGCATTTGCCGAAAAAGGTGCGCGTCATATCATGTCCCGCAAATGCGAGAAGCCCAAAGCATCCTTTTTCACCACTTACGTCTTCGTTGGAATGTTTATCGGTGCTGTGACAGCACCGTGTTCGGCTCCCCTTCGGGGCATGGTCATAGAAAACTCTGTAGTCATAGCGCAGTCGCGGGCATGGAACTCCCGCGGAACGCACTGGCCCACGTTGCAGGTGCACCAATTCGGTCGAAGAGTGGGGATCGGAAGACGCGTTGAACAATCATCCTCGACCTCCTCAATCTCCTCGGCCAACTCATGGCCCTCCGCAGAGGCCTGGAGCAGCTCTGCAAGAAGCGAACGCTGCGTCCGCAGCTGCTGACCACTAGGGGTGTATCCGTTGATGGGCTCAAAGCCAAAAATGGACTTTGGCGAATCGAAGAGGACACTTGTCTGGGAACTGCTGCCCTGGCTGGAGTCCATCCTTCGTTGATACACTGACAATGTGAAACACTTATTTTAACAAGATTATGTTTGTAATAGGTGGGCTGGATGACTTATAGTGACTCCCACGTACTGCCCTCCATGTGACCATCCGTTCATGTGCGTTCCTGCAATCGCTTACCATCAGGCCTATTCTAATATGCAGGATATTTAAGCGATGGATACATTTAATGCGTAAAATGAGTTCTCGTACGAATTTTGAGGCTCAACGTGAGGGTGGCCATCCAAAATCGGCGAAGCGCGTGTCGATGTAGAGGTGGTTAATTCTTGGGAAATCCATTAACTTAACAATTTGCATCAATTTTCATCATTTTTAGGAATGTGCCAATTATTCCTTTCGCCCAACTTGTAGTCATGGTCTGGTGACGCCTTTGCCCGAATCCTTCTGGCAATTTCGGCAACACGACACGGCTTCCTTTACACTAAATTTTAAGCTGGTTCAGTTGAATGGTTTTAGGTGCGAAGTCCTTGCGATCCAACATAAACCTATTCGAGCTGTTGACTTACTGCCGTGGGCAATTTCGATGGACCCATGCACATGAACACTAGTGTCTAAATACCTGTTTAAATCTAGCTAACAAGGCGTTTTCCTGGTCCTTGCCGGGCTGGAGGCGCGCCAATGCCCCAACTTGTATCTGCAGAAAAAATGATGTTCGACCTTCACAAAGAAGGGGGAATTTCAAAAGCGATTATAAAGCATGCCAAGTATCCTCCATCGTCTCCAGCTTCCATCGACAGGCCGCGTTACTAACCGGGTTGCGTGTCTCCGAAAAGGTGTCGTGACACGAAATTTAAGGACTCGAAGTCCGCCCTTAAATTTGCACCAAATGCTATCCTCGATGCCACGCAAGCAGTGCCTCTCTCCCAGCACATCTGTTGAAGTGCGCCAGCCTGCGGTTCCCCATGAGGCGGCTTCGGGTAAACCCTGGGAGTTCTGCACCCGTAAACTTCCCCCTCTCTGGGAGGCTCCCCTCCCTCCTTTGCCCCGCCTGGAATCAGCAGTCAGCGCATCATGACATAATTGTGGGGCCTTTCCGTGATCCATACGTGTGCTTTGCCGAAGCTGGAGGAGTGCGGAATGTGCCAATACCAGAAGTACACAGCTGCGGCTTCCGGTCGGTATCCCAACAGCCTGGACGCTTTGCCATCGCAATGACCCATCATCTCAGTGTTTTACCTCAGTGCAGCCCCTCGACGCGTTGCCATGCCCGTGTACCCTGCACGCGCACCACACCACACCCCACCCCACACCACACCACGTACTCAACCAGCATCCGGGGAGGCTACCATGCCCAGCCGACACATAGACTAGGGGCCGCCAGCCGGACATCGCCGGGAGCGCTAGTAACGGCTGGTGTTTTGCGCCCGTAGAATGAATGTGAAGAGGGGACACGGCTGCCCATGCGCACATACACCCTCAAAATCCCGCAAAAACGTTGAGGGGGGTGGGGAGTAACTGATGCGCTGTTTCCAACCCATGTCCCCCCCAGGACCCGTTTCTTAAGCGAGCTATGCGCCTGAGGTCATATGGACCGCAGGGCAGTCACTCGTCCATGGGTCGTTACTTGGCCCGACTAGGGCTTTTCTTGTTGAAGTGGCAGAAATTCTCCTGTCGCTGACATGTTATACGGCTGTGTCATCAGATCGTGGATGGAGACCTGATTTGCGCACATCGAGGGAATGAGTTACAGAATCGAGTCGAGGCAGTATGTCAGACACCGGTGTACGGCCACGTGGCTGCATGTCTTCGCAGGACTCGTGACCAAAGAGCAGCAAATCACCGTTAGCGATGTCTAAAATATGTGACTGATCTACTGATGGTTAGAATTACCCAATAAATAATACATTCTTAGTTTGAAGGGTGAATAACGCATTGCTTCGCTGTTGACAGCATTTCCCCAAAAGCCAGAAACGAAGCCTATTATTATCACGGAAGCATATTAAATAAACTTTTCTTGAGAAGAATGCAGCCTGGTAGGCGGAATATCTATACGCATTCGACCTTGCAGGCTCCGCAGTACACTACTCACCCTTAGGTCGTGAAGGGTCGTGAAGCGAACCTTCGCGTTGGTACTCATAAGGACGCGAACGTTACGAGGTATGGTAAATGTTATGGCATGTCCTATCTGCAATATTTCAATAATGGTTTTCAAGACCAGCAGAGCTTTTTCCTCCAAGCCGTCAATGTCGTTGCGCCAGTAGCGATGTATCGACATTCCTGCGGCTGACTGATAGAAGCATCATATTTCTGTTATTTTTAACCCACAATTTGTTAGTCGGTGATAGACTGTTTCCGTTGTCATGCACCCTCAACGATACGCCCATGCGGACCATCGGACTGAAGTGGACACAGCCGCGCTCTTTTCACAAACGACCCACTGCCAAGTACTCAACGCCCACGAAATTAAGCACACCGAATCTGCTTTCCTAATGCTTAAATGCGTAGATCTCAGCTGAGGCAGTAGCTGTTACCCTGTGCATTCGTTTCGGCCGAATTGGGCTATCAAATTGGTTTGCCGCAACAGCATTTCCTAGAACTGCTTGCCCGCCTCTGGTTGGAGTACGTGATGGGGGACCGGTACTTTAACGGCTTATTGAAATAGTTCTAAACATAGACGTTCCGGTACAGTATGCACCCCATACAATTGATACGTGTCTTCTCGTCCATCATCTGTTTAGGTGTGATCGACTTAGCCGGGTCGAGTATAGAGTTGTTTACTCTTTATCGAACGGCAGCATGTCTTCTTGTTACCCTGATTTCGTTTACCAAAGTGAAGCCATGTGCTACATGATGCAATAGGGAGAAGGAGGAGGGAAGGGAATGGTCACCCGAATGCCTTATCTTCTTAGCCCTTTCGCCTGCCCTTCCAAGCATTGCACATGAGATCGTAGCTCTCCTCAAACGACTTCAACAATTCCTCCTTTGCAAGCAACGGACCCTTTTGTAAAAGTGTAGGGTCTGGCCTTGCCTCGGAGCATACCTGCGTTCACGCCCTCTCTCCACGTCTCGCCGCGAGACTGCCCAACGACCTACGTACTCGAATCCTCCCTCTAGGTTGCAGATCCGAATTTTTTCTCCAGCACCTCCTCTCTGCAAATTCCGTGCCACTATACACGGCTCGCAAGCGGCTTCTTAATGCCGCCATATGCTCGGGGACGGGCGTGACTTTACCCGCATCCGCACCCAACACCTGCGGCGCCCTCCGTCCTGCCGTCAGAACCCCTCACGCGCCGACTATATGTGCAACGGACTATTCACCCAGCCGAACACGTCGTGTAAGTTTGTCCGTCTCTGCGCATGTCTCTAATAATCAAGATATCGATTTTTCAACGGGCCTTCGGATCCATCGTCGCACATATGCCCCACGGTCCCCCTCCTTTTTCCGCCCCAACCCCCTCACAACTGCCCCAACGATCAACAAACAGATCCTGAAAGGACCGTGCCCGACCCGATGTAGGCCTGTAGCTCACGTTTATCACGTTAAAAGCAACTGCATATCGCCTATCTCACGCAGTCGTTCTCCTGATAGCTGTTTCTAGGGCTCGTTTGGTTCTCTAGGCCCGACAATCCCTCTCAACGCAGCCAGCCGAAATCGGGTAGTACTTATAGCCATACATATATCCCGCTGCAGCATTTTCACCCCTCCAGCCCTGAGATCAACCGCCTCTGCCTACGAAATCTCCGCCCTGAAGAAGGCGTTCCGAAGAAAAGAACAACATTCCTGACCCCAAAACAGCAATAGCGTACATATGCACGCACGCGTCCCGATACAAGGCTCGAGGCAGAGGGTGCAAGCTCGTGCACGCGCTGGCCAAGTTACGCACGTGATGTGCGGCAACGAAACCCTCCTAGCACCGCAGCAAAACACCGGCGATGAAGTGCTGGCAAGCCGCCGTAGATGCTTTAGCAAGCTACGCCGCCCTGAGCAGGCGTTCGACCTGGACGGGCGAAGAACACAGGCGCCGTACAAATGGGGACCAGGGTTGTACGTCGGACGTTTGCCCCCGTCCAAGATGCCACGTGCGAGGGGAGGGAAAATTATCAGGTGCTGGGGGCATATGCAGGTAATCCCAACGATCACAGCACAGGCCAGGCGCCATAGCACATCAGCAGCAGCAGCAGCAGCAGCAGCAGCAGCAGCAGCAGCAGCACAATAGTCCCCTTCTTGCCGCCGCCACTGCCGCTGCCGCCGTCACCTCACCCGTTGGGCCAGAATCCAATCCAAGAGACGTTCAGGAGCGGCGCCCATGCGCCCATGCGTAACAACAGACGCAACAGACGCCCCTTTTCCCTGGCGTGGCACACGCTCGCATAATCCCAACGTAACCCAACAGACCGTAGGGAACACAACAGAAGCCCCGAACCATAACTCACCTCGTCCCGCGCCTCTGCCTGCGCGCGCCAGTCCTCCTGTACACTCTCCAGCTCCACCAGCCGCGCCACCTGCTCTTCAATGCCCGCCAACTCCGCCGCAGGGACCTCGATATCCATCTCAACCTCAATCTCGATCATGTTCATAACACGACTATAACCCTCCAAGAGCTCGATCCGCCGAGTCAGCCGCTCCTCAATATTGGCCCGGGCGCGCGCCACGCGGCCGATGCGGGCCTCGTAGGCGGCGGCGGCTCCGCCGCCTGTTCCGGTTAGCCCAGCTGCCGCCGGCGCCGCGCTTACTGCCTCCATCTTGTTCTGTAGCTGCCACAGGCGCGCCAGAAAGCGCACATCCTCCGCGCTTTCAGATAGCGCCGCCTCCGCTTTGGCCGCCAAGGCACTGTACTGCCCCAGCAGCTGCTGCCGTACATACTCCACACGAACTTTGGCGTCAGGCAGCTGCTTTAGCTTGGGTACCAGTACGGAGCTGCCTACCGCTGCACCTCCGGCCAGAGACACCGCACCTGCCGCCAGCAGCAGTGGCAGCGCAGGGTCCAGCAGGGACGACGCGGCGTCGCCGCCGGTGAGCACGACTGCCAGCGGCAGCACCCAGCCCGGCACGCCGGCCTGCTCAGCGGAGACGGGTGGCCGCAGCAGCGGCAACACGGCACCGGTTTTATGGTTGGTAGCGGTGAGCGCTTCGCCGACTTTGGTCCCCGGTGGCGAGGCGTTAAAGAGGCCGGCCTTCCGGATGTTGCGCATGGGGGCGCTCACCACGGTTACTCGCTCACCCACCTGGCGGTCCATCCAAACACAAGGGGGGAAAACACGCGCGGACTTGTAAAGGCCGCGGCATCTGCAAATTGTCCATAACAGCTACACATATCTACAAGCCAACTTTGGCTGGGGCCGACAACGGGACAGAGAGCTGAAGAGGTGCCCGTCTCCACAAGAGATCAAGAGGACTCGGGTTGCACCAGGAGGTGCACCGAAGGGCGCACCGAAATGGCATATATCGGCTCGGGAAAGCTATATCGTGAACAACCCTCGGCAATTCATGGCCGGGGCTTACATCATTAGTACACTGTGACGGTCTTCGCGGTCCTCACTGTGCGGGTCTCACGGTGGCCATAATTCCGTCGCCCTCATTCCCATCCCCATACGGAGGCATTCATCTTCTACTTGCAAATACCCTTAGCGGCGCGTAAAGCAATGCTGGAAAACATATATCGCTTGGGCTTTCTTTCATGGGAAATGGGAAAGAAGCAGCGCGACCGTCCGCGCTTTGGTTGGTTGGCGGTGGGGGCTTAGAGATCCTGTGTTGATACGCAATGTAGCAACGGGTGAGGCCTGGGGGCCCGGCGCTGTGTCGTTACCTGGGCTGGCACCGCGGCCGTCTCGGTTCCCACCCGAAAGGTGCGAGAGGTGCTGTCCGGCGCCTGCGACCAGGGCCCGCGGATGGGTTGCTAAGAGAGGGAAAACCCGTTTGCACCGAAATTCCGGACGGGGTGATCGGCAAAGGACGCATGGCAAAGGAATGCCATCAACAGTAATGCATGATCCCGCTCGGTGTTAAAACCTCAGTCCTCGGAACACTCAGCTCTCGAAAAAGCATCCGACGCGCGAGGCTTTCAGGACAAAGGACCGAGAGCAAGAGAGAAATGCCGGTATGTGGAATCCCGAATTAGCTAGGTAAGAGGCCACGTAGCCCGGTAAGAGCCCGCAAGCAAAAAAATTTGGAAAATGTAGAGCACACACTCGCATCGGGGTTGTTGCAAGTTGTCCAACATGCTCAGGTTCGTAGTAAGCAGGGTCTCCATAAATAATGCCGTACATGCCGTACCTGCAGTACAAATTCGTGTATGGCGGCCACGGGAGGCTTCTTTATGAGTCCCACAGCGCGGGACAACGTGAGCAACAGATTGCCCGACGGCACGAGCGCGGTGCTGGAGCAGCTGACGGTGGTGCCGCTGAACACCTCGTACTCGTAGCGCGAGTAGCTGTCTGCGACAGTCTTGGCGCCCTCTTGCGGCTGCACCACCGTAAGCGGTCGGTCCGGGGCCAGCGGGGATGTGATCACCTTCCCGAAGCCGACCTCCTCCGAGCCCCGCGGAAGGCCCTGCACCTTAATATCCGCCAAGACCTGATCTCCACGCCAAGGTTCGGTAAGGTGACAGCGCAGGCCAGAAGACGATGGCATTGGGATGTACAGGACATAAAACCAGTAAGGAAAATCGCAGATGCAGATTATGAAGGCTACGAGATGGAAATACGTGGGGGATTATGAAGGAAATACGCATGTATGCTTGTTGTGCTCGATGTCGGCAACGACCGGTGTGGCGTGAGGTGTTCTGCTGGTTGACCAGCAATCAGGAAGCCGACACTGGTATGCGGAGTTAATGTAAGGGCGATGCGTTCACAGACATGCCTCCCCCGGCGTCAGGACGGCTGCGCCTAGGCCCCTGCATGTCTCCGGTCCGTGCCTGTCTGTGTCTGTCTGTCAATCCGTTATCGAAATCGGCATTCCGGCGCCAGGGCCAGTAAACCGGCATGGAAGACATTTGGATTCCCTACTAGTTTTGAATATTTTTTTGCCCTTGTCCGCCCTTCTCCGACTCCAAACCCATTTACCGCCGTGGTTCTCACATTGACTCCTGGCCACTATCTGTAAGCATCCTGCCCAACACCGTCCCTGACAGCCAAAACTCTCTCGGCCTGACCAGTCGCCCCAAGGACCGAGCCCCGAGCATCGTTACCCTTGTTAATTTCTAGCCCCCTGGCTCCATACCCTACGCCCCGGGCTCGTAACCCTACTCCCCTGTGGCTTGCTCCACCTTGCCAATTTAGCCATCTGGTTTTGAACATCTAGGCCCGTGCCATTTGTTCTTCGGCTCCTAGCTCCCTAACCACAACTTCCATGTAGCTGGGAGGCCGCCGAGGTAAGGCCCCAGAAATTGCCGTGGTCACTTGGAGATGGATTGAAGTGGCCAAGCTAACTCGGCAGTGGGGCCATAGCTTCCCATATTTGCCTACGCTCCTTACTAATTCTCAGAATATCCGCAAGGGCACCGATCAGCGTTTATGGATTTGCATGCTTCCCACACCTTTCTCTAAATGTATTCCTCCGCGCCGCACCTGTAATGCTTCCACGGTGCACAGTTGCTGACAAAGGCCCAGCACCAGGTCCCGTGTCGTTGCTAGGGTGGATGCAGGCCAAGCGAAGGCAACGTCCAATGAGCGGCTGGCAGCACCGCGGCCGCCGCGCCCCGCCAAGCACATTTCCCTATACAGAGCCAAGGCCAGCTGTACCTTGCCACGCTGCAAGAAGAAGCTCAACATTGTTCGCGCGTCCTCTTCCTGCAACCCCGCCGGCGCCTCCGCCGCCAGCGCTTCCGCGACCTCAAGGAGGGAGTTGGAGGCGGCGAAGCGGCGCAGGAGGGACGGGCTACAGAGCGGCTGCTGCGCCGCGCCAGTACCGTCCACCGAAGACGCAGCAGACGTTGCAGCGGTTGGGTCGGCGGTGCTGCTGGTCGATCCGGCACGCGCTTGTTGTTGTTGCTGCTGCTGTGGCTGATGCTCACGAGAGGTTCCCGTAATGGACGCCGCTTCTGGCGCTGCTACGCTGGTGACGGCTTTGCTGTGGGAAGTCTGGGCGGAGCCTGACGCCTGTAAGTTTGAAGGAGGGGCCCCGGGATCACATGTGAGGCTACGGCACATGTTCACCGTGGTGGATAGAGGCATTCGTGCGTGCGGAGATTGTGCGGGAATGCGGGGGGATGCTTGAGGAAAGAACGGGCCCAAGCAAGAATGTGGCAGCGACAGTCGCGTCGCTCTGCCGAAAGCCAAAGAACGTTGGAACGGCTTTACCCATACAGTAAAGCTTCAGACTTTTACCACCCCAGTAATTTGTCTTGAGCTGTTAGGGCTGGTGAACGGCCGCTTGTTGCCTTTTCCGCATGCTTACCGCTTCTGACTCCCCGTTGCTCAGCGTCGACGCTGCTTGGCATATCGTATGTCGGAAATGAAAAGTGTGCCACAGGTTCGGGCGATGTCGCCTTCCTGACTGAAAAATATTGCATCCAGCTTGCTGCAGCCCCAGCGCACGCTGCATTCTATATCTGACTGGATTCTTGTAAAGATGTCCTCTGGAAAGTAGAGAATAAAAATACGGTTTGGCTAGCACTGGGCGGAGGAGGGGGACGTGAGCCACCCCCAACCCTTTCCTGATGGAATCTATGCTCCGGGAAGGCCCATGCAAGGATAAAATAAATGTGTAACTATAGTTTGAAGTAGCTTGGTGCTCGCATATGCCGGCACTTGACTCTTGATCCAGCGGGGAGTTCGCTTTTCGGCGCTGAAGAATTGCTTCGTGCTCGGAGAGCCAGAGTATTCAAATGTCTACCTAATTTTTAGTTTTGGTACGTCGCGTCGATGAGATCTTGAAGCCCGCTTTCCGTCGCCGAAACCGGAAGCAACACCTCTGCACGTAAATCATGCGCAGAAATTCAATGGCAATCTATAAAGTCCGCATGCTGCCTCACCCTATGTGAACACCGTCTCGAAACAAGGTGTCACAAAAGAGGCAAGGTGCCTTCTATTACAAGTCCGAGGTTGCCGCTGTTGTCGGGCATTATGCCTGCTGCGTGTAGCAATTGTCAAAGGCTGGTCTCCATTTAGTTCCTCTGGGCACCAGCTTGAGACTTGTACGGGTCCAGTCTTTCGGACAAACAAGGTGTCTAGGAGCCCGCACAGCACGAAGCCCACTCAATAGAGACAGTTATTCATTTACACTTGCCTTTTCTAGAAGTACCTGCTTTGTTAAAATAACTTGCTTAATTACAGAACTAGTCAAACTGCAATTCGGTTTCATCCTGGCAAAAGAAATAGAGCAACTTAGTCCATCAGTGGTTGGTTTGCAGACGGGTGCTGAGACTGGACGCACGCGGCGGCGGCTTTGTTGAGGAGCGGCTTCGTTGGGGCAGCCTGCTTTTAGGCACGGCCCGCTGGGGCCGTGCCGCGCTTTGAGTAGCCATGAACCAATATCAGTAAGTACTTTAGCCTCTGGTGGCCACCTTTCATTACAACAACAAGGCTTTCCTGCTTCCCCCGCAGCATTTATGAAAAGATCGGCCATGGGAAGCACTCCACGGTTTATAAAGGCCGCAAGAAGAAGACTATCAGCTATTATGCCATCAAATCAGTTGACAAAACTCAGAAGGCCCGGGTGCTGCAGGAGGTGGGGGAAACCAAACATGACAGACCTGCTTTGCAGCCTCGTTCTCTCGGGAAACTATATGGAGCTGTACTATGTTGCAGGTGCGAACCATGCACGCGCTGGACCACAAAAATATCCTCAAGTTCTACGCCTGGTAAGTGCATGTATGCCTTCAGGCATCGGCTCAGCACAGTTTACATCGCGTGGTGGCTTGCACACGTCCATGCCACGTTATACACAGGTATGAGACCACGAATCACCTGTGGCTCATCTTGGAGTTCTGTGTTGGCGGCGACCTTATGTCCCTGCTACGCCAGGACGTCCGCCTGCCGGAAAGCTCAGTACACGACTTCGCGCGTGACCTCGTTACGGCATTGCAGTACCTCCACAGCAAGGAGATCATTTACTGTGACCTGAAACCCTCGAATATTCTGCTGGATGAGAATGGGCGGATGAAACTGGGCGGGTTTGGGCTGTCGCGACGCCTGGCTGACATCAACAAAAAGCCCCTGCAGGCGCTGCCACAGGTGATTGGAGAGGGGTTTCAGCGCATGGAGGCGGGGCCCCAGGCGAATAGAGGAGGGAAAAGCTCCTGACCAGGGGGGAATGCCCAGTGCATAGGAATAGTGTGTGCCGGGGATGCAAGAGTCTCATGTCTGTTTGCAAGAGCTGCCGGCCACGCTGCCTTTGTGTCACGCTGCAACCACATGCTATTACCTGAATATACTCATTGCTTTGCCAGGCCATGCGTGGCACGCCATGTTACATGGCGCCAGAGCTCTTCTCCGATGGGGCAACGCATTCCACGGCCTCGGACCTATGGGCTGTTGGCTGCGTGCTGTACGAGTGCTCGATGGGGCGTCCGCCCTTCCTGAACTCCTCCTTCAACCAACTGGTGCACGAAATCCTTAATAACGAGCCCCAGCCAATTCCTGGTACGCGGCCCGTTTGGTCGGGGACTTAGTATAGGTTACTTTGCAACTGTTCGCCTGGTAAATGTGTGGCGCTGCGGGCTTTCCTCAATTGGTCGTTACCCCACTATTTGCTCGGTCGGAGTCCGGAATGTGGTTTTCGGGCCTTTCCGGCGGGAATTCACTGTCGTGAATTCACTGTATGGCTGTTTCAGGGGCGAGCGAAGCGTATCACGACATGATAACACGTCTCCTTGATAAGAACCCGGCGACGCGTATTAAATGGAAAGAACTGTGCGCGCATCGCTTCTGGCAAGTGCGCCTACCCCACCTTGAGTTGCCTCTGGAGCCTGCGCTTGATGCCTTCATTGCGCGGTACGGTCTTGCGCCGACAGTGGAGGAGATGCGACTCTCGACACGGGATGGCTTGAAGGTGAGATTAACCGCTTACAACGCAACTCTATGTTTCTTACTGTATGCGCGCCTTGGCCTGGCACGTTCGCACTGGGTTATGGACTTGGTATTTGCTTCGTTTCTCTGGATGAATACCTTGCAAGGAAGGTTCCAAAGTTTTGCTCCCTCGGGACCCCGTATCGCATGCGTACCTGCTGCAGCTGGATAAGGGTCGCACCATGCGGCAGAGCGTGGATATTACGCGCCTGTCCCGCATAGCCTTGCACAACTTGGAGAGGGAAGGCGATGGTGCGGATTACAGCAGCGCAGTAGCAGGCGCAGCCGCGGCGGAGGCGCAGCAGGGAGATATCCGGATCGACTCAGCGGATGCGGAGCTCGATTTCGAGGAAACCAGAGAGGAGGGTGAGTGCACGCATGCACTGAGGCAGGGTGGGGCATTAGGCACGTTGCTCACTGGGGTGGCAGCCATGTTTTCCAGGTTCTTTTTCGGGTATGCCCTGTGCCATCCTTCTGACGCGCCCCCTTTCCATTGTGCTCCATGGCTGTTTGTATCTCCAGCGGTAGACGAGGAGAGCCCGGTTTGTCCGGCGCCCGGCGACGATGGCCTGGTTATCGACCAGGGCGCAGGTGCGCCGTTGTCGGACGGCGGACGCATGATTAGCGCCACAGCAAACGATGCCATGATGGCTCGTGCAGCCGCCGCTGCCGCTGCTCACCAGAGCAGCCACGCCGGTCTAGGTGCACAGGCGCCGGCGCGACGTGGTGCAGTGGGCCCGTCAGAAAGCATTAGCGGCGGCATTACAGGCGTGAGCACTGCAGGGAGGGTACAGGGGCGTGGCGGGGATGACCTCCGACGGTCAGCAGCTCTTGGCGGTGGTCGTGCTGGCGACACAGCCGCGGATTTGGACGACGGAAAGGGTGCAGCGGCCTCCTCGTCGGGCGCGGGCATGGACGATGACTTGTTGGTGGAAACCGGGTCGCTGATCACGGATCGGGATGCAGCATCATTGGAGGACCTAATCTGGCATGCCTCAGACACGGCTGTTAAGCCTATCGTGGCAAACCGCCGAATAGGTAAGTCTCTGGGGCTTTTTGCAGATTCGACCAACTCTCCATGTTTCGCAGGGTCATGGATTTGCTATGGATTAAGCATAGTGCTGGCCCACAGGCCCCCAGCCGACAGGGTTATGACAAGGGGATCAGGTCAAGGCAGCATTGCTATCTGATTAGTATTCTGTTTTCTACATCTTGGCACGAGTGCAACCCTCCAAACGATTTCCCTTAGCTGCATCACCCTGCGCCTCTGTGGGTGATGCCGCAAATGCGCATCTTTTTACGCGAGCATCTTTCCAAGTCCTTAGGTTTAGAGCGCCGTATCTACGTAAGCTTACATGTGAAATACCTGGAGGGCTTAACATGCACAGCACGTACCGAGGGCAAGACGCATTTTCCGGGCATGCCATTCTTGCAAACTGGCCGCGGCCTTCTTCGACATTTACCATCTATGCCTGAGTGCTTGCAGAACGCTTACCCGAGCCGCGCTATGAGGCGGCAAGCCTGCCATTCAAACCTTGGAGCCTGGCAGAAATGCTCAGCGCCAACCAGGCAGATCTGGAGGGCTTCTTGACCCATATCTACAGAGCTATTGCCAGCGCTGCGCCTCTGAAGGTACAAAACGCCATTATGAGCATGAAGACGATGACGGAGCAGTGGTCACGTGCCCTAGGTGCAATAGGATTTGCTAGGGGGCCGGCCTGGGTGTACGATTGGTCAAGCCCGTGGTTTTATCAGGGACGTTTCCTAGTTCAACTGCGTTACGGCGCCACAGGTCTTCCAATAGAATTACTTTCTGAAATGCATCCTGGCTTTACCTTACCGCGTGTTGCGTCGTTTACAACGCTGCACAGGATAAAGTGAACGTGCTGAGCTACTTCGAGACGCTATGTGTGGACACGAACGCTGCCAACGTCCTCATCAATAGCTCGCTGACCATCCTCTTTATCCGTATGTTGCGTAACGCCCGTGCGCCGATGCTACGCATTCGACTGGCGAGCGTCCTGGGTGAGTACGGCGTGTTGGCTGGCAAGGCGCCATCGGCAAGGCGCGTGTCTACCCCGCAGCCTTACTGATTTAAAACAGCGACAGCGACAGTGAGGTTCTTTGATACCCATATTGCGATTAAGCTAGGCTGCAGTATGGCCATGCGCACGTAATGGTCACAGATCAGGTTATTAGGTGTACTGTGTCTCGCTGACTTTTGTCCCTTGTAACCTTCTCAGGCCTTCTGGTCCGGCACGCTACATATATTTCAGAGGAGCTTGCACACACGGGGGTTGTCGAAGTCCTCGGTGAAGCATTGAAGGTATGCGTTGGTCGTAGGTAATGCAAAGACCGCAGGGTTGCCGGATCTGATCGACTGGCCAACGTGCGGCAGTGGTGGCATCTGCAGCGGGTAACAAAAGCTCCTTCTCCTTCCTCTTTGTACATCTAATGCCACGACCGCATTACGTTCGACCTTTGAATAGAAACCTATCTGTGCACAGGATAAGAACGAGCGCGTCCGGCGACGCGTGATTGCGACGCTGGGTGAGCTGCTTTTCTACATCGCCACTCAGCAACAGGATAACGCAGCGGCAGCAGCGGGAACCGGCGGCGCAGCGCCGGCCGACCCGGCGGGTGTTTGGGGCATCAGCCCGAACACTTACGCACAGGTAAGGCGAGGTCCAAACGCAGCATGTTGTCCCTCCCTCTCTCTACTCATTTCGATTTGTGGCATGATGTAATAGGCAAGAAGGCTGAAGGTAGAGGAGCTATACCTGCTTGGATTCATGTCCATGGCGCGGCGAAAATTAGCTCACTAAGCCCTCATCCTAGGTCGGAGAGTTTCAACTACATCAGTTACACTATCTCGAATTATTACGGTCATATGGTTTGCTGTACACGTTCCGATGTGTGGGGCCCGTATCGTGACATGCAACCGTGCAGGTCATACGCCTGTTGAGAGACAAGGACGACGAGGTCGCCGCGCACTACGCTGTCAAGACTGTGGAGAACATTTGCAGCCAGGGCGGCGAGTGGGCGGCGCGGTTTGCGACGCAGGACGTTGTGCTGAGTCTAGTGCAGCTGATAAACAATACGGGGAAAGGGGAGCAGCTACGGGCGACGGCGGCATCCACCCTGGCGCGGCTGCTGAGGTGTGTGTAACATTGAGGTACTGCTTAGGAAAGAGAACGCAGCTCTAGCATAGCTACCTTCTCTGCAAGTCTTTGCAGCAACCCTTGGGTTTCCAATCCGTATTGCGAGGATAAGAGCGTTGCACACGGATGCGAAGAAGTTAGCTCGGTGTTGGCTGTGCGGCTAGAGGCGCGTCCAGAGGGATGCTGGCAGAGCCGGTTGCTGGAGCTTCTGCTGCGGCGGCGCCCCTTAGCCCTGATGCCCACCTTTGTAGCATGGTGCCCCTCCCCTCCGCCCCACATCAGCATGTGCGGTACGTCCGATTGGGGCGATAGTCCCCTTTTTTTCCAGCGTCTTTCGCGTGATCCCTATATAAATGAATTTTTCATTACGGCGGTTTCCCAAATCGACTTGCAGGCACAGCCCAACTCTGCTGGCGCACACTGTGGACAAGTACGGCATCCGTCTCTTCGTGGGGTGCCTGCTGGAGGGCACGGTGTCCGCGTCCGCCTCCGCCGGCGGCGGAACTGGCGGCGGGAATGCTGGTGGCGCGGGTGGTGCCAGCAGCAAGGTGCAGACCGCGGCGCTCAACCTGCTGAACCTGACGCTGGCACAGCCGGACCTGTCCACGCGGGCCCGTGCCTCCTTGGCAGAGGAGCGCGGCTTGCTACCCGGGCTCATCGCGCTCATGGACCACTCGCTGCCTCTGATCCGTGCAAAGGCGGTTGTGACAGTCATGCTCCTTAGCAGGTGCGCTGGCGTAGCTGGAACCGCTCGCAGTGGTAATGCTCCGCGGGATTCACATGGCTATGGGACGGGCTCAATATTGGATGCCTCACATCTGATTTGTAAATCTTACCATGCTGCTGTGCGTTTCCTAGTGTCGCATCATTCCAACCGAGATTGCTGAGGTTTATATATACATGAACCGCTATCCATACATAACCGCATGACCCGAATCCAAATGCTGGCCTCCTGGTCATTGATCCCTGGGCACAGGCTATCTCCTCGATGGCTCCTGGAGGCCTGCAAAGCCAAGCTGACGACGACGGTAGAGCGGCTCGTCCGCGACAAGGACGAGTACCTTACCCGAGCACTGACGGCGTTGCGTGCCGAGGCAGCGCGACTGGTGCCCGCTATCGCAACATCTATCTCTGACGAGTTGCGCAGCAGCAGCACCGCTGGCGGCAGTCGCCGCAACCCGATGGGTGGTCTGGTGGGCGCCGGCGGCTCGGGCTCGCGGCCGCAGCCCTCCAAGTCGGTCCTGGTGCTGTTCCCTGTGCTGCAGCACATGCTTGGCAGTCCGCACTTCCGCTCAGCAGTGGTTTCGGGACAACTGGTGGCGGACTTAGCAAGCTGGTTGACCCTTACGGCAGGGCCAGCGGCTGGTGGATCTATTGGTGGCGGAGCGGGCAGTAGCCTTGCAGGGTCATCCGGTTCATCGGGAGCAGCACTGCTAACGGATTTCAAAACGACGCTCATGCACGTCCTGGAGGTAAGGAGCCGCTCCGTGCGTATGGATCTGCGTGCAAGAAGTCGGTCACGGATGGGCTGTGAAGAGTTGCTATCATTGTCGGATGATCTGGTTTGCGTTTTGTTAATAATTTCGAGGGTCGAGGCCTTTGAACGTGCAGGGTTTTGTTGTAGGCCATTGGGGAACTACCCTTGGTCCTGACCCATTAACCCCGGGCGAGAGAGACGACCAGGATATATTGTTGCAAAATGCAGCAGGTCCTGCCCACCCCGCCGCCCACGTGTGCTGTCTCTTTTGAGTTCGGGCCTGGGCATCACGCGACTCGTCGTGAGGGTTGCTCTGTTCTGGCCGTATCCAACCGGCCTGTGCTCTCACGTAACGGCCTTAAAACACAGCTCTGGCCGCTCCGCACCCACAGGCGTTATGTCAGCAAGGCGAGTTGGTGCTGCAGCACTACAGCGCCGTACTGAACACACTGCTCCCCGCGCTGTGTGGCGTCGTGAGCGCCGAGGCTGAGGGCGGTGACACGCGCTTCTTCTGCTTGCGCATGGTCAGCGACGTGCTTCAGACACTGTTGCTGGACGAGGAGCTGTATGGCAGTGTACAGCTGCGCGCGGAGGGCTCGAGCGGCGTTGCAGCAACTCAGATTGACCGTGTGCTGCGTTCCCATATCCTGCCGCTCGTACCGCGGCTGTTGCGGGACGAGGACCCGATGCCGTTGTATGCGCTCAAGGTGGGCAGGAGTTGATGAGTGCGAGCTCTGGGCATAAACCTTTCTGGTCACGTCGTCATTGGATTTCGTAGCAGTGATGCATTTGCTTCCGGCATGTGAGCCCTGCTCTGCTAATCCAGCAATAGCTTCTGGCATCCAGGGCATGCGTATCTGCGGGCCAGAGCTTGCCGCCCGAGTCAGTAGTACTTCATCAGGGTAGTACACCTCTTAACCAGGGCAGCCGCCAGCAATGTCCATGTGCTTGCTTAAGCCGTTGAGCTGTGGCATAACGTTCAATGCCGTTTCCAAACCACAGCTGCTCGGAGGCTTGTTGGAGATCAATCTGGCCTATGTGGCGGATGTGGAGGCGATGGGTCTCGCGTCGCAATTCTTCGAGTTCCTTTCCCTGGAGCACTCGAACAACAATGTGCATAACATCCGGCTGTGTCGCCAGATTATTGCGGCGGGGTCCATGCCTGCGTCGCAGCTGCTCGAGCTGCAGGTCGCGGAGAAGGTGTGTGTGGGGTGGTTTTGCGTTTGGATCTATCTTGTTTGGCGTTGCAGGAGGGCATCACCCATCGGCATGTCTCCCTGTTCTGTGCCATGCACAATTGCCATGCACCAATCCTTTACTGCCTGTCTTGTCGGCCGTATGTTGCTAAGTAACAAGCATTCGGGGGTCGCTCACGTTTGTTAGCGGGAGATTAATACATCGGTGTACGAATTGTACCGTTCTTTGGGCCAGGTTGCTGCTGTTTTGGAGTACGCCTCTAACAACGCGGTGGAGCCGTTCTTGGAGCCCGTGTTAGAGCTGGTGAACACCATCCTGCAGCGAGACGCGCTCGAGGTGAGGGCACATGTGAGGGGTGGACTCCGACACCTGCAGATAACTACTTCCCTTTGAACCGGCTACCTGGTGCTGGAGATGCATGCGTAGGAGGCACGCGTTCAGGGCCCTCCTCCTTGCACCTTGCCTTCAAAGGGAGCCCTATGTCCCCGGTCCTATCGCTACGTCGCCTTCCATACGCTACACACAACTCACAAGAGTCTTGTACGGGGTGTTGGTGCCTCTCTGCATTGGCCTTGCATATGACCCACAGGTGTCCCAGGGCCGCTCGGACGGCTCGTTAGCCGCGGTGTTTTTGGAGCAAGCGGGAGTGCTGCTGGACAATTGTGCGCACCCCGATATACCTGTGTGCAGCTCCGCCGCTAGCGCGACGACGAGCCTGGTGGCCCTGTTCCCGCAACAGTGCGCACCCTGGCTGCTGGCGCCCGAAAACGCTTCGGCCTTGGCGACGATGTTGGCAGGGCAGCACCTGCAGCCTGGGGCGGGGCATGCACAGGGTGTGGGGCCGCAGGTGGTGCCGCCGTCGCTGCAGCAGCCACTACTGGAGGCCGTGGCGACAGCGCTCGAGGTGAGCGTGGGCAAAAAGGAGGGAAATTGTTGCGGCTATGCAAGGGAGGAGGAGGCTAGGTATAAGGCTTGTAAAGCCGGAGAGCTTAAATGCGCATGAACGCGCCCCATGCCCAGTATAAAGTACATAGAGATATGTTATCTTGCGTATGACGCCTCGCGGTGCTCCGCTTAGAATACGTTACTCACCCAGCTGACAGGCTGGGCACGCCTGAGGCCTGTTTATTAACTTGCTCCCCGGGTGCATTGCTTTGTTCCGCAGGTCGCCGGCGCCGCCACTCCGTCCTCCGAGCTGGCACAGCTGTATGACGTCGTTCGGCAAGCCGCTGCAAGCTCTCAAGACCCTTCCGTACGGAGCATAGCTGGGGAAGTGGTGGGCGCACTAGGAGCGCTGCTGCATTAGAAGCGCGTAAACAGGGGTTGGTTGGGGGGCAGGAACCAGATGCATGGGCTGAGCGGTACGGTAATTGCTTGTTTGTTGTTTGTGATAATGTCTTTAGTGTAAAGCCTGCCGGGTGCGGTTCGCAGGTCAAGTGCGGCTCTGTCGCTGCCAGGGGCGGTTACATGTGCACTGGGGTCGTTTGTGCACACGCCTCCATTTAGGCTGTGCGGCCAGATGAAATCGGTAGGTGTCTTCCGCTTGCATACAACCAGACCACTCGTGAACGGGTGAGCTGTGGGTGACACCGCTGCTTTGCTGCTAAGGCAGCTCCTGCTGCTCCGTCACTCGTCATCATACGACGTTGCCCATGGCCAGCGCGCATCATATGCCCACGCCAAGAATGGTGCATATGGCGACGGTTTAAGAGGCACATAGGGGCCCGTGGGGTAGGGGACATGGGTAGGCGCGGAGTTACTAATCATGATACATTACTTGAGTGATGGCTGCTTGATGCGCCGCAGTCGGCCAAGGGTCCGCCCAATTATCTTCATACGGACGAAAGGTTTCCTCAGTTTTTACGGACGGGAGGTTTCCTTGACGTGCTGCGTTTTCTGCTTATGGGCGGTTCTATGGATGCAAGGATTTCCGGTGTTTGGCTCCTGCTGGTATGGCTCTGGTGCATGGCGCAATCCTGTCGTGTGCAATGTGGGCAGCGTATAATAGGCGAGGTTCGCTTGGGTGGGAAACCTGGGCGTACTTTATCGCGCATTACATCTGGCAATTGGAACGGTCGAAGCGCAGGGTCCCGTTTATGATGCATTAGGACACAGCATCATCAATTCCAGCAGCAGGGCCATGCTGTTTTCGCGGCTTCAAATACTCGCGCATACAAATGTTAACTGGTCAATCGCTGCCACTCACCAACTGTTTCTGGTCAACCGCAATCAGTGAAATAGCCCCGCGGTGCACGTGCACCATTCAGGCATCCGCAGCAAATGAAAGGGTTGGGCGGCCGGGCAAATCCCAACGATGAAATAGACTAAGGTGATTCAACGCAGCATGCCGTAGTCGGCGATTTAGCTTACCAGCACACCTTCAAACCTTCACAGACGTACAAGGAGTGGTGAAATCATCGTGTACATAGCATAACCTCCATCACAAGCAAAAACTGATGCGTGAGAAAGAGCAAATGCCATACATGCGCAAACGCAGCCCTGATCCTCGAGTGCAACCCCGAACCCCACCGCTGCAACTCCTGAAAGGAAGCACTACCGCTGCTTCATCAACTCGCCTGAACTACCTTGTAAGGGATGCATACACGGGACAACAATGTACCGCGAAACGCTCCCATTGCGACGCTTCATCATAAAGAGAATGTATTAGGTATCATTGCCCCCTGCCATGACGGTAATCAAAACACCACTAAACACATCACTCCCCTTCTTACGCACACTCCGACTACTCCAGGATTCTGCCTATCACCCAACACGTCCACATCCAGCCTTGGCTCAGCACATAAGCACTAGGTTGGGCCTACATGCTGCTCCTTCCTTGGCAGTACGGTAAACACCAAGCCAGGAAATTGCACCACAGCACTTGGGCTCCTACATGTGCGAGTGTGAACCTCACAGGGCTCCGCCAGTGATACTCAGACCAGCAATATCCGCCCAGTATCCCTCAACCGTATCAACTTCAGGCAGATTATACATGAACCACGGAAGGAGCGAAGGATACTTGCAGCGCACGGCATTGCCTCTCCTACAGTACACAACGACATTTCATAACAGCGATACCCAGGTTTTGCTTTCCCAGGCACGGACCCGGCTCCAGTGCTTAGTCTAACAGCTTCACCCTCGGTTGACCTGACGGCATTCATGTCACAAGAGAATGTCTAATTAATAGAAGGCATTTGTCGGAAGTACGGTATACAAGTGGGTTTGCCGGTGGGAACAAACGTTGTGCGCACGTCCTCCCTCCCTCCTGGCTGCAGTATGATGCTATCGTGTGTGTTCTTGTTGTCGATGCCCTTGCAGTCGCCTTCGTTGCTGTTGTCGGTCGCGATAAGAAATGGCGTACACAGAAGTGATGATGATGATAATGATGATGGTGATGATGATGATGATGATGGTGGTGGCGTGAGCGTTACTTAAGGCGCGCCACGTAAATCCACCCACACATTCTCCAAGCTGATGGGGGTTATCATTCACGACCGCAGCTCGCGAACAGATTTTGCACAAGCTAAAATGCCAACGCGCGCGACAAGGGGAGACATTTTGAAAAAGATGCTGCATGATTGCACCGTCAAAAGCGATGTAAGCCGTCGCAGTAGGAAACTGAAGCTGCTCACTGCATCCAGAACACGGCTCCGACAGCCGCAATAGGCGAGCTGAGCCGCTCAGAACCTTTCCGCGCACAGATGAAGCCGCCAACGACACACAGCGATGCAATAAGACAGCCGCGATTGAGAAAGCGCCACAAAGGTGCCGGAGGCGCTTTGGCCAACTTCTTGTAAAGAGGCCAAATAATGAATAGAGACGCTGTTGCACGCCCATTGCGGGACCTTTTTCACCTCCACCCCGATTCGGTGTCTTCCTAATTTCCCTTTCCCATATCTTCCTCCAATTCTTTCGCTCCGATACCCTCTATCCGGATTTTCGTGCTCCACCCCGTGGCTTCCCTCTTTTTCTCTGATCGCCGGCCGCTCGCTCGCAACCCACCTCTTTTTCACCCCCCATGACATCACGTCACATGGAGCTGGGGCCGACCCCCCACACAACCCCGTGCAACCACCTTGCCAAGCGCTGAACTCCAGCGCGCATAGACTGCACATTTCTTGCGAAAGCTGCGGCTGTTGCTACTGCTGCTACTGCGGCTGCGGCTGCGGCAGCTGTTGCCTCTCCATCCCCGTCCGCACTCATTTTCCCTCGGGCTTCCCGCTGCTCTGCACACCTACCTCCGGCATCCATCACCGCAGTGACCTCTCCCGCCGCTGCAGCAATTAACAGAAGGTCAAACCAAAGCAAGCTAGCAGCAAGCAAGGACGCTCTAGAAAATCTCTTATTTTTCCGTGCAACAGTAGCGGCAGCAGTAGCAGCAGCCCGCTGGTCAACACATCGAAGGCAGCAGACGCAGCGACAGCAGCGGCAGCACGGAGCCAGTCGGGCCACGCCAGCTCTCTAGAAGCGAGCTCTAGGAATGCCGCTCCGGCTGGAGCGGGTCCGGCGGCTGCAGCGACGGCGCGGCGGAGATGGCGGTGGCCTGGTCGGCGAACGTGCGGCTGGCTCCGGTGCGGCGAAGGGAGAAGCGCGAAGGCGCAGGCGGTGCGCTCGTGCGCTGGTTCATGGCCTCATCCACAAGCCAAACCTACATGTGGCAGGGTCGTAGGAAAAGTAGTGGGCAACATCTCCGGTGCCAAGGGGAAACAAACGTCTATACAAAAAATCTAATTTTTTTAAAAAAATCTTAAACAAATCTATAAAACAAATCTATAGAAAATCTATAACCCCTTAGAGAGAGGGTCCGACTTAATTTGGGCGAAATAAGGCCCAGTAGCCGTACAGAGGCATACGTACACACACAAAACAAGGTGGATGAATAAAGGCTAAGCCGTACTAATCGTACCGGCGCTGGACCACCCGTCGCGGCGCCTGCGCTGCCGTCGATCGCTCCCGCCTGCCCTGCCGACAGGGCCGAGCTGCGTCGTTGGCTTTGATTCCGGCTTGGGGTCGCAGTAGGTCCCCCCATTCCACAGTAGCTGACGCGGTGCTGCTGCTCCATGCGTGACGGGCCGTACTGCAAAGGGCTGTACGGCGCACCACCGCCTCCAGCCGCGAGAGCTGCTTCCGCCATGTCAATCGCCGCCTGCAGCGACGCAACTCCGCCGACGCCAACTGGTATGGCGGCGCCGCCGCGCCGTAGAGACGCCGCCGGGGTCTGCAGTCGCGACGGGTTGCGGGAGCTGCTGGCGGAGGTTGCTGCCGTCGGCGGCGACGCTAGGCACACGCCGGACCGGTGACGGGTCGTGGCGCTGGGTGCTACAGTGCTGGATAGCCGCGGTGTCTCCGAATCGATAGCAGCCAGTCCCGACTGCAAAACGCCAGAGCTCGACGTTGAGTAGCCGCGACCTCTGCCGGATCCGCCGCCGCCGCCGCCGCCCTCGTGCCGTCGACCAAATGACCTGATCGCGTCGGAGGCGAGGCGCAGACCCAGCCACACGCCCTTAGAGCTGGCGCGACGGCCAGGTGTCGTATTGGCCGGCTCGCCGTACTCGGCGAACTCGCCGTCGCGGCCCTGTGTGCTGGCTGCAACGGTGATAATGGCGACAGACGGCGCCGTCGCGCCGCCGTCGTACATTTCCATGTGCGCAGCTGTGCGCGGCGGATGGGCTGTCGCAAACCCAGGTGCCATCAAGGCAGGCGGCGAAGGTGGCAGCGGGGCCGCCGCCGCCGCCGCCGCCGGAGCCACCTTCCCATGTGATGAGTTATAGGAGGGTGTTTGGCTCAGGCGCGACGAGCCCAAACCAGCGTCGGCGCCGGACCGGGAAAGGGTACATGGGCCGGCCGTATGGACAGTAGTGGCAGTAGCGGCAGCTGCTGTAGCGGCGTGCTTGGGCGTCTCTCCGGGCGCGATGATGGAGTTGGAGCGTGCCGTACCGGCACCGGAGGAGTGACGACCGGATCCCGTTAGCTCAGCTACCGTGGGCAACACGTTGACGAGGCCGTTGACGGTTGAAGGCAGAATGGCGTCAGTGTCGATCAGCGGCACCGCCGGCTCCTGATCGACATCAAGGGGGGCGTTGCCGCAGCCGGCGGCGGCGGCGGCGGCGGCCGCGGCAGCCTGCCTGGCTGCGAATGCGATCGCCGCCGCTGCGACCGTGGCGGCACACTCCTCGTGCTGCTGCGCTAGCGCCAGCGCGCCGCTGGGCGCTGTGACGCGCCGGCGCCGCGATGGCAGCGCCCCCTGACCCGCCTCCTCCGTTAGCGGCGATTGTGATGACGTCTGCTGCTGCTGGTAGTGGTGGGAATGATTTGCCAGCTCAGCGCCTTGAATGGTCCCCAACCTTCGCAGCGACGCCGCCGCCGCCGCCGCCGTGTTAGGGACCTGGTTACAACCGGAACCTGAGCCGCGACGGCCGCCATTGCTCCCAAGTCGAACCCCCTGGGGTCCCCTCGTGCCGCTGTCAGATACTGGGCGAAAACCGATCCCGGGCTCCGCAGCGTCGAGCTGCAGTACCGCCGCGACCTCTCCTGCTGGCGGAGCGGTCCCCCAGCTCCCTGCGTCGACGCTGCTACGGCAGCCGCCGACGCCAGCAACGGCCGCCGCCGCAGCGGCGCCGCCGCCGCCGGCGTGGAACGGCAGCTTTGCGGCCACGCGGGACAGCCGCCGCATGATGGTCGTACGCAGTCTGCCCTTTGATGAAGCGGAGATGGCGCGCTCACTCGGCGATGTGGGTGACGCCAACCCTCCCGCTGCCGCTGCGGGCAGCACCCACGATGACGCCACCACCGCACCCGCATGTGCGGCAGCGGCGGCGGCGGTGACGCTCATGGATAGTCCCGCCGGACGCTGCATGCTGCTCGCCGGCGACAGCACCGCCGGGGATTGGGATGACTGCAATAACAAGTGGGAGGTCTGCGGGAACGGCGCCGGCGACGTCAGGTACGACTCGCCCCATCCGGCAGATTCGCCGTACAGAGGCTGGGACAGCGTCGGACCCACCGGAGCGCCGCCGCCGCCGCCGCCGACGCCATGGTTGTTATTCAGCATCGCCGCCGACGACGCCGTCGCCGCTGCCGGACTGCACGCGAAATGAAGCCCACCGTCGGGTGGTCCGTACATCTCAAAGCCTTGCGATGCCGCCAAGGACAGCGACTGGGGCTGTTGTGGAGAGCTTGGCTCACCGGCGACAGGAGACATCGCGACTGTGTTTGCATGTGAGCTTCCGCCGTTGCCGCCGCTGCCGCCGTCGGGGACGGCGACAAGAAGCGATCGATGGGTGACACGGCCGCTAGCACGAAAAGAAGCAAACACCGTGTTAAGCCTGTTGGTGATGCTGCTACGCCGCTGGCCGCTGCCGCCACTGCCGCCCAAATCCACCGGCGACGCCGCCGCGGCAGCGGCGGCTGCAGCTACGGCCGCCGAGTCAGCGGCGGACGCCGTCCCCAGATCATGTGTCTGGGACCGTGGCCGAAAGCCCGGCACACGCAGCAACGGCTGATTGCTGCCCGATATGTGGCGTCCGCTGCCAAGGGTGCAGTAGCCGTCCATGTCCGGGCCGTTGGCGGCTGCCGCCGGCGCCGCCGCCACGGATGCCACACTGCCGGAGGACTGTAACGCCAAGCTCGCGAGTCTGCTGGCCCCCACCGTCGACGGCGGCCCGCCGCTGGAGCGACTTGTGACGCGGCGCATGGAGCGGGAGCCCGCGGCACTGTTAATTGGCAAGCCGCCTTGGCGGAGCAGCCGGGAACCGCTGCTGACGCTGTCGGGGGCTCCGCCGGTGGCAGCTCCAACGCCGGTGGCAGCAGCAGCGGCGGCGGCGGCGGCGCCGCCGCCGCCCCCAGCTTCCAGCACGTCCCCATCAAAATCATCCGGCCCATTACGACCGCCGTACGATCGACTGCTAGATGCGCGAATGTACACGAGGGCCCCCGAGCTGCCGGGGCCGCCGCGGATGCCGCCGCCAGCCGCCGTACTGCTGTCGCCTGACGGCATCAACGCCATGACGCTGCGCGCCAATGCGCTGCTGCCGCGCTGCTTGACGCTGATGAAGCGCCGCGGGTCCCGACTCGATGGCGAGCCATCCATTGCCGCCGTACTGCGCCGAAGGGACGGCCGCAACGAGGTGGAGGAAGGAGTGTTGCTGGCGCTGCCGCCGCCTGCGGCGGCGGTGGCGGCAGCGGCGCCCGCCATTCCGGGGCTGCCGCGCGGCGATGCGGCGGCGGCGGCGCCGCCGCCGAAGGTGCC